AGCCACCATCATGGTCGGTACGTTGGTGTTACCACCCGGAATAATTGGCATAACGGATGCGTCCACCACTCTTAAATTTCGAATTCTCTTGACTCTGAAAAGAAAATGAAATAAGTTAATAGAATAGTTAAGATATGATGTGTTGCATCTTTGTTCCACAAGACAAAGTCTTCAAAGTGCGCTTGTTTTCTAATATCGTAAGCTGAGTAGTCAAATTATTCTGCATTGGTGCCCTGCTCATTTATTTTGAGATACAAAATAATAATAATAATAATAATAATAATAAGTAAGCTAATATTACGTATATTGTGATGGATGGGTTCTCCCATCCATCAGTGTACGATAATTAAAAGGAAGATTAGCCATAGTCAAAACAAATACAATTTATTAGCAAGTCTCAACAACCTAACAAATCTCAACAACCCAAATTAGGAAATGCACCTTTAAGTAAATATGGAAGCAAAAGCGATGTAGACGAGATAAATAATATTTAATTATAAACTGAATCATACTTACTCTTGGACCATCCTAGCAATACACATTCCAAATAATCGAAATTACGTTTAAAGTTAATCTACTTCAAGCCAACACTATTCCAATCTAGGTATCTAATTGACCAAATCGTCAATTTTAAATATTAAACAAATAATCTATGAATCTCTCTGGACAAGGTTTCCATTACTTTACGTTATTCACTAATTTCTATCATTTAGCTCCTAACCACTCTCTCTCTCTCTCTCCTGAAAGTTAATGCTTAAATATAAGCCTTGATTTGCATAAGCTGCGTCTTCTTCTTCGGGAGAAAGTTTTCAATAGAATAACATTTAAAAAACAGTTTTTCTCCAAGGGGATTAGTAGGAGGTTCGTGAATAGACCCGTTGCAATACCCTTAAATTGAAAAATTAATGCAAAAATTGCAATTATTAGATATCTTGTAATAAAAATTTGAAGTTCGTTACTATCTAATAATAAACGTTGAAATAATTACTTTAATAGAACATGTGGATGCTTTAATTCAAGCAATAATGAAGAAGAATTTTTAATGGTTTGAATCTTGTTTTATCGATTTTTATATGTTCTAGTTACATGTTTAAAATGATTCAACAAAAAAAGGGAGCAATTGAAAAGGAATAGTAAAATCCTAAAAATGAAAAAAAATTCTTACGAGAATCTTAAGAGAGAGTACTTATCGAGAATGTAAGTAATCACTTTAGAATGGTTAAAGAATTAACGGAATGCAACCCTTTCTGGATTGTGATTCTTAAACTTCTTTCAGGTAAAATACACAAAATTACTAATGACAATGTAAATCAAAAGTCAGGCTAAAGTTCCAAATGAAAATAAATAATATTTAGAAAAGTAACTTTTTATTTTGAATAAACGGGATTACATGTTCATGATTTTTACGGGAAAATGTTTTTTCTGCTTTTTTGGAGTTGCAATAATATATATTTATAACTGAGGCCAGTTTTCATTTTATATTTATTTATGTTCTCTTATTCCAGACTCAAGTTGAGTTTTAAAGGAATAAATTTACGAAGAAATTTTTTTTAAAGAAACAGTGTCAGAAAAAAAGTTTTCAATAAAATTAATGCAGTGCTTCTCAAACTTTCAATACTTGCAACCCAATGTTCAATCATGATTTTCATCGCACCCCCCTCTATATAAAAAACAATGTACTGAATTCGATAATACGATACTTTGTAGCTAAAGCTACAATACGACTTTAATCTCCTAAGTACCTCCGGCGTATATAAACGTCTTACTCAGCCAGTGCGCAAATTTCCCCTGACGTATATGTACATCTTTCCGAAAAACGATTTTCTTCTGTTTACTGCTATCCATAAAATATTTCCGAAGGCTTTGAAATGCAATAAAAGGACATTGACAGCGTTTGAGAAGGATTTACTTATTTCAGAGGATTTTCTTATTTATTCCCTGTCTTCTCCCCCCAATGCAAAACGTACGTTCGCGTACGTTCAAAACGGTGACATTGGGCAGCAATTCTTGTAACTTTTAATCGGCAGTTAAGGAATTATTTATAAACCGTACAAATAATCAAGAAAAGTGTTAGTTTTTGAATATAACTTTGTAAATGAAAAACCCGTGGGGGTCTCTGGTAATTATTAAACTTATTCCTAACTTAGTACTGTTAAATGAATTATAAAATACATTGTGCAGTACTGATACATTTATAAGAGTATTATATCAGTGTAAACGTTTTTTTTATTATACCAGAACTTTCAACAAATTAATAATTTTTTAAATAATTTTTTGTTTTCGACTTTTCAATATGCTCACGCCTCCCTCTTAGGGTTACTACGCCCCCTGGCGGTGCAGCATACAGTTTGAGAAGCGCTGAATTAACGGATTTTATGATTCACCAGCTGAGGATTTCGTCGTTTCACAGGTTATCTCGAATAATGCTGCATTTCCTAGCGGAGAGAATTGACACATTTGCAATGTTCTGTCCTAATTAGAAATTTGAAGACCCCTTCTGTCCTTTTATTATTTTTTGAACGAAATTTTGAATGCAGGTAACAAAAATTGCGGTGTAGTTTTACCGTCGAAAAGTCATCGCCGCATTATAAAGGCATGCATCGTTCTCTAATACAGAGGGTCACGTGATAGTCGTTGTACTGAAATACTTTGCAGATGCATGTCACCGATAGCAAAGCTCAGTAACTTTATCCAAGCAATGTAAGAAAGAAACCATATAAATAATGCCTGAAAAACGGTTATTTGACTAAACACAAACACAAAAAGTTTTGATCTGCAGTTTTGAAGGGGGGAACTTTTCTTTTAATCTTCAATCTAAGCATGAATTTTTCATGTGCATCCAGACACATGAAAAAGTGGTCTATGCGATTATTTTGAGAAATCGCGAAATGTTTAAATGTTCAAATCAAATTTCGACTACTTTTCGAAAAATCGTAAAGAAAATAAACTAGGGATTCTGATTCTTTAAGCTACTCAGCCGAAGAAAGCAAAACCTGCAATTTCTTGCTTATCGCAATGACGAGGATTCAAACATTCCATCCGCGATAACGCTCCGAAATCAAATTATTTAAAAAAGAAAGAAGCTACTAAGGCGTCAACAAATCACTGTTTTGTAAAAGAAAAAATATTACTTATTCTGACGATTTAATAGTTCATTCGATTCCAAAATATTTTGTTTCGTCTGTCTTTAATATGGAGGGACGAATTCCAGTTTTATATAAAAACGACCGAAATAACAGAAATCATTCCCTTGAATTTTTTCCCTTTCCCGAAGTTTCTGTACGATTGAAGGAAAAAGACATTCATTCTCTTTGGAGTTTAAAAAAAACAATATCTTTTTAACTACAAGGAATACAGATAAGTTACAGCCATTTTTTAAAACAAAAATTCAGCACATGTTACGAAAGAACGGTATATTATGTTTTATTTATGTATGTTTGTATGTACAAAGTGTTGTCCATCACTAGTCTCTACTTTTACTCTCTTTTGTCTGCAGTATACGGATACCATGTCGGAAGAACGCTTACTTTTCAAAGCTATCCATAAACCAAGCTAATTTTTGGTATATGATGTGAAGTGCTGTTGAGACAGATCATGTGCCATTGATCGGAATAAGAGATACACGCACACACACACACACACACACACATATATATATACGTATAATTAGAAGGCGATATGTCTAGTAAATTCTGCGGGTGGGTTAGGATTTTTCAACTGAGACTTTCCAAGTAGGTTTTGACCGGTGCCGTGACTTGTGAACGGGCATTATCATGCAGGAGAATAAACTTGTAGCGGTTAAAGTATTAGAGGGCGCGTTTTCTCTTGAGTGCTCGGCTGAATATTATCAATTCTGTTAGGTGGGGAGCCCAGTAAAGCAGTGATTCTCAAACTTTCAATATTTGCGACCTAATATTCAATAATTCGCTCGCCCTCACCCTCTCCAAACAATAACAATCCATTGAATCTTATAGAACTATACAATGATGCTAAGACTGCAATACGGCTTTAACCGAAGTGCCACCTGCTTGTATAAACATCTTGCTCAACCAAAGCGATAGTTACCCGGACGTATTTATACGTCTTTCCAAAGTACAATCTTTTCTGTGCACTGCTATCCGTAAAATTATTCCGAAGGCTATGAAATGTAATAAAAGGACTGGAATAAAAGGACTGAGAGAGAAAAGGCGATGGATTTAATAATTTCAGAAAATTCATTTATTTATTCCTTCCCCCCTCCAATACATCACATATTCTCACCTATGGGGAAAACAGAGGCGTTGGAGAGTGAATTGCGCAACCTTTAATCGGAAGTTAATGGATTAATTATAAACCGTTCAAATGATCAAGATGAGTGTGCTTGGCTCCATGAATGCCCATTGACCCAAGCTCCATGAGTGCTTATGAGGGCTTGTCATATAAAAAAAATTATCCAAAATTTAATATTTATCTTGGTAATTTTTGGGAGGTTTATAATTAATCCGCTCCCCAATGCCACCGTTTTCTACGCAGGCGCGCATATGTGATGTATTGAGGGGGGGGGAGAAGAAGAAGAAATAAGGAAATCCTCTGAAATGAGTAAATTCTTCACAAACATATCAAGTTCCTTTTACTGCATTCAAAGCCTTCGGAATAATTTTATGGAGCTCGGATGGTAAAACGTTCACTTGGCATGCCGGAGGTACAGGGATCGATACCATGATCCTCCACTTATTATTTTTTCGTGTAAAATATTTTTGAAATTCGTTTTATTTGTACAACGGGATATTTTACAATACTTCCACTCAGCATACGTGCAAAGTATGTTAGGTTTTTACTGTTCTAGAGGGAACACTAAGAAAATAAGGTATACCAAGCTATTTCTATTTAATTTGAAATATTCTATCATATCTATTTACTCAATTCTAGTTTTCCCATAAAACTTTTAATTGACACTAATACTGTAACGATCTTGTTCAGGTGTTAAGGCGAGCTTGTCTACATTAGCACAAATGTCGATCGGGAGCGTAGCTCAGATGGTAGAGCACTCGCTTAGCCTGCGAGAGGTACGGGAATCAATACCCTACGCCTCCAATTATTATTTTTTCGTGTAAAGTATATTTTTTTAAAAATTTCTTTATTTGTGTGTGTGTGTGTGTACAACCAGATTTTTTACAATACTTCCACTCACAGCATACGGTCAAAGTATGCTATATTTTTACAAGCTTTTATGTAACTTACGATATAAAATGTTCCGGTGGAATCTTGCAACTAAATTTTGAAGCTGGTGTCTTCAACCGATTGAGCTGAAATTTTGTATACACGTTTAGTTTGGATGACAATGCATGTTTTGACCATTTATATTCCAATGTCGCTATTAGTTAAAGAGACTAGTTGCATGGCCCGGCGTTGCACGGGCATTCTCTACTTTTTTTAATTTTCCCTTTCCTTCACAAAATCAGCACTTCTAGTACTCCTTTTCAAAATGACTCCCACCCCCTCCTCCTTCTTCGCTTAGCCCTGCGTTGTTCGGGCTTTTACCGAGCGTATAATTTAAATTTCCCTGTTCCAAAAATTTTTCGCTTCTTTTCTTTGTCATACAGCTCCACCCCCCTCCCGGCATTGCACGAACATTTTAAAAGCTTAACATATTGTCATGGAAATTCCCCTTTCCCTCTCGCTATCAGAGCTCTTGAGTAAGTGACCATTCACCGATTCTTAAGCAGCTTTACATGTGCTTGCCATAAAGTGGCACAAAAAGAATGAATTATTGTTTAAATGAAACTCATAAAAAAGTTTTTGACATTTTATTTTTTAAATCACTAAGAAAGATCAAAGTGTGAGTTTGTTAAAAATCATTTTCATATACAGCATCGATATTGATTCATTTTAGAAAAAATAAAATGTGTACAGTATCGTTGTTTTGTAAAAAAAAAAATGCTGTATCATGACGAAATAAATTTTCTTTCCAATTACAAAATACCTGGCGAAGTTATTAAATAGGAGAATAAAATTTTGAATCTTTTTTTTAAAATCATAAAATCTAAGCAATGATGTTGTTTCAAACCCGGGTACAAAAGTTACTAATCCCGCGCTCTAACTGACCACACACACACACACAATCCACGAAACCTATGGAACAAAATAAATAAAAGACCTTTGAAATAAAAAGAAGACATATTCAATTTCGCATTGCGTTATTTGTTAAAGTTAAAAATTTTTCTGGGCTTCATTTTTAAGTTAATGACTTCAAACTTCATAAATCCATTACAAACAACGGTAATTTTTAAACAAAAAATATAACAATAATAATGCTTAAATATTTCTCGCAAAAAGGGAAAAAACGAAAAAGACAATTTTTTTAAAACCGTAATTTTTAAGCAATTTTTTCAATCTTTGTACAGATTACAGGTAATATTGTTCAACAGGCGGAAAAATAATATAATTTTTTATAAATAAAGAACTTATTAAGTATTTAAGTAAAATTTTGAGTATTTTTTGAAAAATTGTAAAAAAAAAGTTTTTGACATTTTATTTTTATATAATTACTGATTCTCTAAAAGAGAAAACCACGAATTTTATTAGTGTAGAATATTATTTCATTAACTTGAAAGAAAATGCGAACAGAATGATTTAGAAATCATTTTTTAAAAAAAACGTATCTATTTTAAATCATTTTAGAAAAAATCGTAAAAAATAGAAAATATCATTATTTGTAAAATAAATTATACCGTATCGTGGCAAAGTAAATGATCTTTTCGATTCTGTAATTATTTTGTTCTGAGTGAGATAAAAAAATTAAGATCGTGTTTTAAAAACATCTGGGATAAGAAAAAGGTCGGAAAATTCGAACTTCGACGCCTGGCGGGAAGAAATGGCAATAATTATTCTTTTTTAGGTGTTTATTAACTATCTTCTTAACTAAATGCACTTTTGGAATAGAAAATTCGAACTTCGACGCCTGGCGGGAAGAAATGGCAATAATTATTCTTTTTTAGGTGTTTATTAACTATCTTCTTAACTAAATGCACTTTTGGAATATAAATGGTCAAAATGAATTCATTGGATCATTCCGAATATTTTCGTTCCGTCGGCAAGATTTGCGTTGTGCGGTTCATGAGAAAATACACCTAGTGTTTTTCAGTCTCATACGTTTACTTACCTTCGAATTTCAATAGTGTAGATATTAATTAAAGTAATTTTTTCGAGTGAAATCTTGCAAACGGTATGATTCTTTTTCAAAAATAATGATATTTTCTATTTTTTAAATTTTTTCTAAAATGAGTCAAAACCAATGTGCTTTCATGAAAATGATTTCTAAATCGTTCCGTATGATTTTTTTTCATGTTATTGAATCTATATTCTGCATTAAGAAAGTTTAGCCTTTTCTCTTTTAGAATCAGTCATTTAAAAAATAAAATTACTAAAACCTTTTTTACGATTTTCCAAAAAATACTTAAATTTTCAATAAGACATTTAAAAACTTCGTCATTTTTATATATAAAAAAAAATCGCACGAAAACATTTTTTCTTTTGTAGAATAGTATTATCCAAATTCTGCACAAAAACTGAAAAAATTTGGTTTAAAATTGCGGATTTAAAAAAAAATTGTGTTTTTCGTTTTTAATATAGTATTATAGTAAAAGCAAAAAAAAAAAAAAAAAAAAAATCAGTTTTTATATTTTAATTAATTTTGCTTTGCCCAATGTTATTTTTGATCCAATAGTGCTTATCCCCCTTCCCATTATCCTCTTGTTTTGGCCTGAGTGTAATATGTGTGATATGCATGTGGCCTGGCGGAAAAAAATGGTTGAGTACCCCTTAGCTGGACTGTTCAAAATTAAGCGGCAAATGACCTTGCAACAATGATGCACTGAATGAGATTAACAGACTGAAAAACCTCTGTCCAGTGATAAATAAAAAGTAAAAAATAAATTAAAAGTAAAAAAAAACTTTTGTAAAAACAAGCTTTTATTTAAATGCTCTAAAAAGAATAAAATAAAATTTGTTTTAAAACTTTTTTTGCTATCAACTTATAAAATCGTTACACAATTTATGATATAAAAGCTTGTCGTGAGATTCACCCATGTAGATAAACAAGCAATTTAATTAACTTGATCTGATTGATTTTAATTTTTAAAATTGTCAAACTAAGTAAATACGTGTACTTAAATCTCGCGACAAGCTTTTATATCATATATTGTGTAACGATTTTATGAGTTGATAGCAAAAAAAGTTTTAAAAGAAAAGTTTATTTAATTCTTTTTAGAGCATTTAAATAAAAGCTTGTTTTTGAAAAAGTTTTTTTTTTACTTTACCTTTGCAGACCTAGTTCATTCCCCAGGAGCTGGTTTCACTTTTTATTTCGGCACCTTATATAGGCGATAACAATAGCCACAAGTAATTTTGACACCCAGTTTCCTACCCAGAGGGAGGCTTCTGAGCTCTGACGATGCAAAATTGAACTTCAGAATTTAATTTTTCCGAGGGCACTCCAAAGGATTTTCTTACATGCCGTGCATAATCATACGACATGGCCACTCTATCGATTTTCTGCATCATGAAAATCTACCGACTTGGGTTGGGGTCGAACCCGCACCCTTGGGTGCAGAAGGCCAGTGACAAACCAACTACGACAACCGGTTGATAAAAACTGGGTTAAAATTACATTGTTATTGTATAAATGGGTTGTGTGCGATAAAAATTATGATTTAAAATTGCGTCACAAATACTGGAAATTGGAGAAGAAGTGCTCTAGGCGGTTCGTAAAAAGATAGCTTCACACACATACTAATTGTTAGCTCTCGAATTTTAGCAGAGTAGATAAGAAAACTACGATTTTTAAAAACTATAAGACATATTGCATAAAAATACATTTTTTAAATAATTTCAAACTTTTTTGAATCTATAAATACGTTAAATGATTTCTTTGTAAGGAAAATAAAAAATAGAAGTCAGGTACTGCTACAAAGCATTTCCTAACAACAAAATCATTTGAATTGTCATGTAATTCATAATTTTTCTCTCTTCCTTAAGGCTTAGAATCCTGGAATTCATAATGTAAACGTTGAAATTTTTAAAAAAACTACCTGTGTAAAAAAAAGTATATTAACTCACCGGAGCTTAGAATCTACGACTGTCGTAGGATCTCGAGGATTTCCCATTCTGGCAGTACCCGTTTGATGATTCAGCGTGATTACAATAGATTTTGCCATACAACGGAAATACTTGTCATCATCATCCACAACATCTTCACAACCAGGATATACTGTGGTGAAGAGCTTCGAACCAATGTTCCTCAAAGCTTCACTTTCGCCGAATTCTTTGCATTTCTTCAGACCTATGAAATAATTGCTTGATAATTTATTTAATGTTGAATAGCATAATAACATTCAAGCAATCAGCATGGATTAAATGTATCTTTAAATAATGCCGATTATTGTAATTGACTTGTAGAATTATTCTACAGAATTTGAGTGATTTTTGATTATTTAATAATGAGATGAAAAAGTTTTCTTATTGTTTAATCAAGAGTGAAGCAACAAATTTCGATTTTGCTCACACTGAAAATTAGAAAATGACTAAAAAAATCAAAGCAATACTCTGACTTGACGTATTAACACGCTAGAATCTAAAAGAAACAATATGCAGGAATGTATTTTACTTAATATATATGCTTCATTTTTTATAAATTAATAATATAAATTTTTTCAAATGGGCTGCGCGGATTGGTGTTTTACTATTGAAATCCACGTACATTCCCCGGAAGCTAGTATCTCTTTTTATTGTGACATCATAGAAAGCGGGCACCAATCTCCGCAGGAAATTTTGATGCTCAGTTTCCTCCGTAGAGGGAGGTATCTGAGATCTGAAGATGCGAACCTGTACTAAGATTTAATTTTGCCTAGAGTATCCAAGCCAAACAGACACTCTATGGATCTTTAATATACCGTATAATTATACGACATGGCTGCTGTCGATTTTCAGCTTCATGAAAATCCACCGACTTGGACCAGGGTCGAACCCGCAAACTAGGGTGCTGAAGGCCAACGACAAACCAACCACGCCACCCGGCCGGCCAAATTAATAATATA